TTAAAATATGCACAGAGGGCTTGAATAGACATTTTCCCAAAGAAGACATTCAGATGACCAACAGGTACATTAAAAGGTGTTCAACATCACTGATCATCAGAGAAATGCAAATCAAAAACACAATGAAATACCACCTCACACCTGTAAGAATGGCCAAAATCACAGAGACAAGAGATAACAAGTATTGGCAAGGATGTGGAGAAAAGGGAACCCTCCCTCATGCTCTGTTGGCAGGAATGCCAACTGGTTCAGTTGCTATGGAAATTATAATATTCCATTATGTAATGTATACACAATATTCCATTATTACACAGCCATTAGAAAGACGGAAATCCTGCCAACGTGACAACATGGATGGACCCTTGAGAACATGAAATAAATCAGGCAGAGAAAGACAAACAATGTATGCTCTCATTTATATGTGGAATCTAAAAAGAAACAACAACAAAAGCCATACTCATAGAGGCAGAGAAACAGCAAGGGGCTGGGAGTGGGGTGGGGGAAAAGGATATTGGCCAAAGGGTCCAAACTTTCAGTTAAAAGATGAGTAAGTTCTGGGCTTTAATATAGACCACAATGACTATAGTTTGCAAAACTGTATTATACTTTAAAGATGCTAAATGTTCTTACCACACATATGTACAAAAAGTTAATTATATGGGATGATGGAGGGACTAGTCAACCCCATTGTGTTCATCATTTCACAATGTATGTTAAATCATCATCATGTGCACCTTAAACTTAGTCAATGCTATATCTCAGTTATATCTCAATGAAGCTGGAAGAAACGAAGATCCAGGTAATAGGGGGAAAAGAAAACGAATTTGGAATTCTAACAAATTATCAGGTTAGCTGATGATGTTGATCCTAGGATTACACTTCGGGAATTGCTGGCCTGCAGATTAGAAGCATTTGCACATGTTCTGTGTTTTCCTACAAGGAGAGTCAGGGTCAAACATAGGGGCCACATATCAGTCAGCTCTCTGACTTTTTCTTTGTCTCAGTATTGTTATTACTGCTCAAGGACCAGATAATTTCTAAAATTCCTGTAAGTTCTAAATATGTATAGGAATGTGCTTTTAAGAATTTCATATTCTGTAATGGGAATCCTAAGTACTTAATTGCCAAGATCTCACATATATACCCAAACTGAAACAAATGGAAGCAGTCACAAATACATGTATCCAAACACCAAGATGCAGACTTCATAACATTAAGAACATGCATTAACAATTACAATACTATATCAAAATTGTTGGTGACCAAAGTTAAGTTATGTTTTATGAATCTCAATCTATTTATAAGTAGATAAAAGATACTAACATATGCCAAGAGTTGTGGATTCTTCTAGAGTGTTTGGGAGGTCTGCAGGAGGCAAGAAAAGGCAATTTGTCCCTGGAAAGACATTAAGCACAGTGACTATGGACAGGAGAGGGGTAGACATTGTTGGGCCACTTGAACTAGACTGGACTGGCTAGACAGCAGCCTCACTATATGGCACCATGCATGTAGAAGCTGTAGTATACACTGGGTGTTGAAGAAGGAAAAGTGAAGTTTCCCTTGGCATCTCAATATGGCAATGACTGACCTCAGACTTTCCTACATGTTTTCCCTTACTCCATTCTTTCCCATGTTGGAGGGCACAGATTCAACTATTTGGGGTTCCTTGTCTCCCTAGAGTTTCATGGTTTTAATTTTGTGAACCCAGGACCAAATGAAGAAATTGATCTGCTTTTATTTTTACATGAAACCCAGAAATCCGTTCTCTTTTCATGAAAACCTGAGTGCCTTGTTTGGTAACTTTCCATGATGCTTCTCTGGGGCCTTTCTACATGAGGGAGTGGGTCATCCTCTGGATGAGAACACCAGTACCTAATGTCCTAGCTCCGTAAACAAACTGTTATCTGTCCCAAGGCCCCAGACTATTCCAAATTCCCAAGGGGACAGGATATTACATTTGCCTTTTCATCCCCTTGTGTACCAATAAAATGACACTTGTAAATTCTTAAAGCTCTTAGAATATATGCTTTCCTTTCTCCCTGGGGGTCACCTGACATCTCCATAGCCCTAGGGGACCTGTATATATGTGTGTGACATAAAGCATGCTGATTTGAAATGTGGCACTCTTCCACTTCCCTCTTGAGCTACAGAGGAAACACTAACTCAGGCTGGTCAAGAGAGCTTCAGACCATTGTTAAGATATTCATCATGCTGTGCCACTTAAAGATTCATTACCATTTTGATGGGGTAGACCTTTTCTGTGCTTAATCCTTCATCAGAGTTTTTGTTGGAATTTCTTCTGGAAGACCCAGAAACTAAATGGGAGCAGAATTAGCTGCCTTCTCCCCAAGAAAACTCCTGGTTGATCTTTGGAATTGAAATAAGGAGGGCTGACAGAATCTGGGAAAAACAAGAGTGAGGATGTGGATAGGAGCTTTGTGGTAGCAATGAGTTTCATTTCTGTATCTTTGGTCTCTTGTAATGAGGATATATAATTGTCTTGTGTGTTAGTTCTATTAAGGTTTGTGTCTGTTGCAGAAATTGAATACATTTTCTCATTGCCACTTGGCACATTAACTCCAGTTTGGAATAGAGTTACTGCATCAATTCAGAAATGACTGAATACACCAAATTCGAACAAAGTGGATCTATTACAAGTAGAAAGGAGAGAGTATATTCTACTTGCTTCCCCATTCCTAGCTGGGGCAATCCTAAGCCATCCCCTGACTTGATACACACACATCATATCATCCTTTCTGATTTCCCCAATGAACTGAACACCTATGTGTCATTCTGTTTTGGCACAGTGACCAAACAAGCATGGCAAATTTCCCCAGCAATGCTGAAAATGATCACAAACTTTTCTCCATAATGATGGACTTTAGTGTTAGGCCTTTATTGTTAAGTCTATGTGCAGGTTAGCAGAAGAAGCAGGAGGAAATGACCACCTTTAAACAAGTTTAAAATGATAAGAACAAGGGAGGGATGAAGAGTGGGAACTTTGAGTTAATGGGTTGGACTGGCATTATGGACCTCCCTAATACTGAGATCCTAATAGTTGGCCTACCCAACTTGCAGGGATGTTGTGACAATGGCTCAGAACTGTAAGTGGAGAAGATCTGGGAAACATCTGACCTATTGTAAATGTGGAAGAGTGATGGCTTTTAGGATGTGCTGTGTATCTGAAGCAGACAAAAAATAGCTCTACTGCTTGGAATTAAGTCCCACTCAGTGGTCACAGAATATCATTCAGGAAATTCTCCTCTGAGCATTGGTGCAGAGTCAGAGAATCAAGCCCACTGCATCAACCCAGCTTTAGACCTTTAGGCCAGAGCTATCAAAACTGGTGTAGACTTGTAATGTCATGTGACTACAGGTTTAGCTCTATCCTGTTTCAGTTTTCATTTTCAGCAGCTCCATTCCTTTCAATTTCATAGTTTAGATTAGAGAGGTGAGCTAAAGCATGTTAAAAAAATATGGTAATTTATGCTTAAAATACCTTTCTGGGGAGAAATACCTATAGAATGACACAGAGGACAGCCTCTGGATACTGGACATGAGATTGAGCATTGGGTCAACTTGCAATGAAGGAATAGCAAAATGAGAAATGTCACCTATTTTCTCAGCAATTTTGCTAAGTCTGGCCCTCAGTGATGCATGTTGCTAAGCAATTGGTGTTGAGTTTCTCCTTGCCACTCCTGGGAATCTCTTGAGCTTGGAAAAAAGCCATGACAGGTCTGTGGATACAGATGTGCAAATGATTCTTCCCAGCCAACACTGGGAATGTGTGTGGGAATGTCTCTCTTTGAGTACTCTGTTCATACAGTGAGGTCACACAATCTGGTTCTTAGGTGGTTGCTTCTCATCATTCTCTGCCCCCTTCTGTGTCTTCAAGGGGCTTTACTGGGGGTCCTATACCTGGAGTAATAATTGTCCCAGCTGGGTAGAGTTCATAAATTCTTCACAGTCAGGCTAGACAGGAGCTGACATCAGCCACACAGAGACACACACCTCAGAATGTTTCTGTACTCTTATTTCCACTGCTTCCTTCTTGCATGTTGTTTAAAGCTATTTCTTAATGGCTATTGGCATTTGCCATCCCCATGGCTGATACAAGCCCGGTGAACTCTAGTGCTACAAGGTGAACACCAGTAAAGTGGGAAACATGTACAGCTGAAAATGTTCAGGGCCTGTGCTGATACCACCAGTCCTGTAGAGATGTGAGGGGACTTGAGAAGTTCTAGCTTCCTTTACAGCACACACCAGGAAAAGCTAAGGCCTAGAGAGAGAATCTGAGTATCAGGATATACATGTGTAGATGTGCCTTTTACAGAGGCAGAGTACAGTCTATAATCTAGACTCTTTCTGATAGTGAGTGTCAAATCTTATTGGATTTAATTTCAATAAAATTATGTGTTGTTAAGGAATTGTGTGACATTCATATTTGTGAACTCCCTGAATATCATCCATGAATTTGATTATTTGTGTCTGTGCAAGTACTACTTTCTCTTCTGGAAATATATTTTGCTTAATCTGCCACATGTAAAATTCTCACCAGTGTTTTGGAAAACAACAACAACAACAAAACCCCCAAAAACCAAACCAAACCAAACAAAACCTCCCTCAGATACAGCAGTGTCCCTGAACATAAACTCTTCTATAGGGCATTCTCTGATCAACTGGGAATAATTTGCAACACACTCAGCTTTTTAACAAATCTTTTAGAGAACTTTTACTTCCTCTCTTCTTTCTAATTATTTGCAATTATTCACCAAACAGGGTAGCTTCTGAATTAATTCATCCTCACCCCTGCAGGAGAATCAGACACACTGTTTTGCATACAATAGGTATCAGTAAGTGTATGCTAAAAGTATGGAAGAGCAGATGACTTTCCTAACTTTATAGACCCACACATGGAAATTGGAGAGTGCTGGGTGAATCTTCATTTGCTGTCTTATCCAGTACTTGCTTGTGTGTTTCCATAACAGCTGGCAAAGACTATGGGAAGAGACAATGACAGCTACCAACAAGCATTCATCTTGCTGGGCTTTTCTGATCGCCCTCGACTGGAGATTATTCTCTTTGCTTTTATCTTGGTCTTCTACACCCTGACCCTTGCAGGCAACACTGCTATCATCTTGTTGTCAATCATGGATGCTAGACTCCACATGCCCATGTACTTCTTTCTTGGGAACCTTTCTTTCTTGGATCTCTGCTTTACAACGAGCATTGTTCCCCAGCTGCTGTGGAACCTTTGGGGTCCAGAGAAGACCATCTCCTACCATGGCTGTGTGGCCCAGCTCTATATCTACATGGTGTTGGGCTCAACTGAGTGTGTTCTACTGGCTGTCATGTCCTATGACTGCTATGTGGCTGTCTGCCGGCCTCTGCATTACACTGTGGTCATGCACCCACGTCTCTGCCTGCAGTTGGTGACTGTGTCCTGGTTCTGTGGCTTTTTACACTCCTTTTTCATGTGTCCCCAGACAATGCAACTCTCTCGATGTGGGCGCCACACAGTGGACCACTTTCTTTGTGAGATGCCTGCTCTGATTGCCATGTCCTGTGAAGACACCATATTGGTGGAAGCATTTGCCTTTGCCCTGGGTGTCGCCCTTCTCCTGGTCCTCATCTCCTATGGGATGATTGCTGCCGCTGTGGTGAGGATCAAGTCAGCCGCAGGGCACAAGAAAGCATTCAACACCTGCTCTTCCCACCTAACAGTGGTCTCCCTTTTCTATGGGACCATCATCTACATGTACCTGCAGCCAGCCAACAGCTACTCCCAAGACCAAGGCAAGTTCCTCACCCTCTTCTACACCATTGTCACTCCCAGTGTCAACCCCCTGATCTACACTCTGAGGAACAAGGATGTAAATGGGACAATGAAGAGGCTCCTGAAGGGAGAGAAGGGGGCCAAGGAAACATGAATGAGAGGAGTGCTGGGGTAATACATGAAGTTCTGGAGTCTGTCTCTTAGATATGTATGTGACGATGTGGAGAGCAAACTTTCAGAGTAGAGTGAACACAGCTGGACATGATGATTTCAAGTGTGACCTCATCCCTTGGTCTCTGGATGTGAACTGGTTTTCTTCAGTTTAAAGGCATCTACCTTAGGAAATCTCTCCTATACTTGCCTTTTACCCATCTTTGGGCTTCATCCACAACTACAGGGGATTGATAACACTAATTCAAAGCACACAGTCTGTAGATTAAGTGATGAGATGTCAAATTAAAATGAGACAACACCAGTGGCCTCCTCTTGAAGCACCTTTTTTTTTTTTTTTTAATGACTACAGTGATTTTTCAGAGGTGGGCAAAACAACATCAGTCAAATCATAGGACTCTGTCTAGATGTAGGTTGTTTCTTCTTAAGTGAGGAGTTTCCTGTTTTTGTTTTTTTGTTATTTGGCTTTTTAAGTTTTTATTTTAGTTCTAATTAGTTAACATATGGTGTAATATTTGTTTCATGTGTATGATATAGTGATTCAACAATTCCATACAACATCCGGTACTCATCACAGCAGGTACACCCCTTAATCCCCATCCCCTACTTGATGCATCCTCCCACCTCCCCTCTGGTGACCATCAGTTTGTTCTCCATAGTTAAGAGTCTATTTCTTGGTTTGTGCACCCTCTATCTGTCCCTTTTTTCTTTCTCTTTCTCCCTTTGCTCATTTGTCTTGTTTGTTTGCTTGTTTCTTTCTTAAAAAAGATTTTATTTGTATATTTGAGGGAAAGAGAAAGCATGAGAAGGAAGGGGAGTAGAGGGAGAGGAAGTTTCCCTGCTGAGTAGAGAACCAGATAGCTCTTGTGATTTTAGTTTCCATACAATTAAATTTTGAACTCATTAGTAGTCATATGTGGCCTTTCTTTATAATTAAAAAAGAACATTTAGGGGAGTTTGGATAGCTCAGTTGGTTAAGCTTCTAACTCGTGATTTTGCTTAGGTCATAATCTCAGGGTTATGAGCCCTGCACTGGGCTCCACACTCAGTGGGGTATCTGCTTGAGATTCTCTCCATCTGCCCCTATCTGCCCCTATCCACACTTGCACTCCCTCTCTCTCTCTAAAACAAACAAGTAAATATATATATATATATATTTCTTTTTTTTTTTTTTAATAGAACACTTAAGTTTCCATTTTAAGCTCAAGAAATCACCTAGGTGGCATCATCTTGGAAATAAAGGATGGAAGAAAAAAAATTTAAAAAAGATTTTATCTATTTATTTGGCAGAGAGATCACAAGTAGGCAGAGAAGCAGGCAGAAGAAGAGGGGGAAGGAGGCTCCCTGCTGAGCAGAGAGCCCAACATGGGGCTCGATTCAAGGACCCTGAGATCATGACCTGTGCTGTAGGCAGAAGCAAAGATGGAAGAAATTTTGTCTATTGTCCCAAATTCCAGTCCTTTTTAAAAAATCCTTATTCTCTTTGTTGAGTCTCTGTGACATAAGAATCACTAGCAATGCATCCACACACATGTAACGAGTTTATTTCCTGTTGTACTTTTCATCCCCATGATTTATTCATTCTATAACCAGAGATTTCTACCTCCTAATCCCCATCACCTATTTCACACATCCCCCACCAACTTCTATAGCAACCACCATGAGTCTGTTTCTGTTTTGTTTGTTCATTTGTTTTGATTTTTAGATTCCACATACAAAGAAATCATATGATATTTGCCTTTCCCTGTCTGAACAGTTTTTAGTAAAAACAAAAAAGATTCAAACAACCTTCTCTACTTAGAGCTTGAATAGTAAGATCAATTCTTGCCACAAATAATTCTCCTTTATTCCTTTTGACACAGTAGTATTTTCTTTAGATATTCAAATCCTATCAGTCAAGTTAAGAAAATATTGCTTTGGCAGCTGTCCTTCTATGATGATATTTAATTCTTACTTGTTTTTGTTTATTGATTGATTGATGAGAAAGTGCCTGAGTTGGGGGGGGGGTGCTTGAGGAAGGACAGAGAGAGAGAGAGAAAGAGAATCCCAAGGAAGGTTGACATGAGGCTTGATCTCATGACCCTGAGATCATGACCTGAGCTAAAGTTGACAGTTGAACACTTAACCGATTGGGCCACCCAAGCACCTCCTTCTATGATGATTTTTTTAACCACTTCTCTTTGTTTATTCTTTCATAGTTTAATGTTTACAAGATAGTAACAAGTAGAATTTATTTATTTTTTTTTAAGACACAACTGTTCTCTTTATTTTTTTCCTATTAACATATAATGTATTATTTGTTTCAGGGGTACAGGTCTGTGAATCATCAGTCTTATGCAATTCATAGCACTCACCATAGCACATACTCCCCAATGTCCATAGCCCAGCCACCCTCTCCCTACCCTCTCACCCCCCAGCAACCCTCAGTTTGTTTCCTGAGATTAAGAGTCTCTTATGGTTTTTATCCCTCCTGATCCCATCTTGTTTCATTACAAGTGGAATTTATTGAACATTGTCTATGACACTATGGTTAGCCCTTTTCCTATTTTATCTGAGCTAATATTTATAATAACACTGACAGGTAAACACTATTAATATTCTCTATATAAGAAAGCTGAGTCTAAGAGGGTTTATTATAAGAGGCTTAATTTGGGGTTGAATTCCTGTTTCCTGGATTGGTACTTACATTGTCATATGACTCTGTCAGACCCCAATGACTCAAGTCCAAGAACATGAGACTTGAAAAGGATAGAAGTAGGTTAGTGAGGGAAAGCACATCCATTGATACAATCCTCCATGTCTTAACCTCTCAGACTAAAATAAGCGGACAGCTTTATCTTATTTATCTCTTCTGAAGTCACTCCATTAAGGACACTTATCACCAGCTCCTGTTCAACAAAGCCCGAGGAAACTGGATGACACCCAATGTTGGCCTGGAGGCTAAGACCCAATTCTGTTGGCTAAGGCTGCACTGTGTTCTCCTGGGCATGAAGGCTGGGGCCAGAGTGTGTAAGGGAAGGAGAGGAGGCTTGTGGACTAGGGGAGTGGTCCAATGTGCTGTCTTTGCCTTCCTCTTTGGAAATCTATTTTACCAGGCCTGATATAGGTTTGTTGCCTTCACAACTCTTTTCCAGATAATGCAAAACTCATATAAATTTTGTCCTTCAGTCTTATCAGTAAGAATCCCCAGAAACTTGTCTCTAATATTTAATTTTTAATAACAAAATCTTTGTTGGTGTTTCTAATGTAGGTATGCAATCAAACTTGGGATTCCATTACCAATACTAAGCCATCACTGCAGCTTATAACTTTGACAAATTTGAAAATTCCTCAAAGGTTTATAGTAAATTTTTCAACACTGACAACATCCAGGTCTTTCTTCTCAAGTCAAAGATATTTAATCAATGCTTACTAACTTGAACCATATTTTCATTGAAGCCACTGTTTTTCCTGCAATTGTGGGATCCTCTCACAAGAAAATATGAATCTTTTACATCTCTAAGTGTAGCTCCCTGCCCTCTTGATGTGAATTTGCTTCGGGAGGGTGAGGAAAGTAGATTCCAAGTGTACAGTGTGGTCAGGGAGCACAGGGCTGATGGATTTGACCTTATGTCACCTTTAGAAGAAGAAAAACATCAGATTCCAGGAGGATTTGCATATGGAGCAGACTCTTAGCCACCTGTAGAGCTACAGAGATCAACTTGAATACTATTTAAAATACTTAGAAATGTAAATAAATTATAATGTCTTTGCAAGTAGGAGCAATGTATTTTTATACTATTTCTCCCAAAAGGATGTTTGGCACAGTGATAAATACATAATAAATCTTTTATAAAATATGTTGATTTATAATAAGAATAAAGAATGGTATATAAAGCACAAGTAAGCTTTATTATAATCTTTCATTTTGTAATTTGAAATTACTGTTCATTTTCAGTATTTGTGATACTATATCTGATATACCAAAACTCTGGTTTTGAGAAAATAATTAGTGGTATTAATAATGACAAATAATCATTTATTCAGTGATTTGGGATTTTGCTCACTTTTTCTTATTCAGCCAGCAAGTATTTACTGAGGATCTATGACATGTCACACATGATGCTGGGATGATGGAGATACAAATATGAAACACAAAGAAAAGGAAAGTGCAGTCTGTCATTGATAACGTGATATGGGATGAATTGGGTGGGCACTTCACTTGATTGTTGAAGTTTGGTTTTCTGCAGGAGATGATGGAGTTCTGTGTTTGAAAGATGAGTAAGTTTGAAAGTAAAAGAGTAGAAATAAGGTGCTGTAGTAAGTAACAAAATGTATGTGTTAAGGCAAGGAGAGGATGGAACATATCCTGAGATAGTAATTTGAGGTATCTGGATACAAGATCCCTAAGGGTAATGGTTGTGGGTAAATGCAGAAGTGTGCATAAAAGCCAGATCTTTAAATGCTCCCAACTAATACTCAGTTGGGAAACTTGGATTTTATTTTTCCTCCAATGGAAAGGAAATTAATGTACTTAGGAAAGATAGTGACACTGATAGGGTACATTTTAGGCAGATCATTTGCTACAATTTAAAGGATGACAGAGAAAATAAAAGGAGGAAAATATTTCAGTAATCTGACTGAGAAGTTATGAGAATTTGAGGAAGGAAATGGGTGAAGATGAAGCAGAGAAATTGGATTTTGGAGATGTTAGAGGAATGGACTCAGGACCAGGGATCTGACTGGAAATAAGTAATGAGCAACAGAGAATACCCTAGACCCAATCCCTGGTGCTTGCTTTGCTTTTCTGGATGTAGAAGGAACATGTTGGAGCTGGTGGCTGGAATATGTTGGAGCTGGTGTCTGAAGAGCACAATTTCAGTCACATCATCTGACAGCATAGTTATCTCCCAAATCAGAAGGATCTCAGAAATTTATTTAAGACCAGGAGAAAAAAACATCCCATAAAAACATCTATGTCAGACTCATCCTTCATTTTGAGGA